CAACATGTTGATGTTAATTGGAGGGGTTAATTGACAACTGGCACATGATAATATTGGTCGGCGGTAACCTTTTAGCACAAAAAAGACATTTCATACCACAGCACAGATACCCCAGCAAAAATGGCATCCAGAATTAGAAACGATGAGTGGACGGAGGATAATGATCTCAAGGATGATCTTACCAAGTACGTGAGACCTGCTTTTAGTACGATATCCCCAATATGCGTGGAGTATACGAACATTGACTCGGCGACTGCAATACTTTGAGATAAAATTCGTAGACTATAACATAGACATAGAGACTGTTAGGTCAGCAGTTGAAAAAGAAATGGAGGGTCCAGGGCAATTATTGGGATACAGAGCCCTTCATTAAGAAGATCCGAGAAGTACATGGACTCAACGTGCCAAGAAGTCTTGTGTATGATGTAATGGTCGAGGTGAACCCACAAGGACTTGAGGAGCGAGGAGGCGTTGGAAAACCGAAAAGACCACCTAGAACGAAAGCTTTTATATCGAATGTGAGTACTTTAATAAGCTGCCTTATGGCTTGTTCCTTTCTTGACTACCATGCTTATCTTGTATCTCAGAACATAAACATAGCTCTCTCAGAGTCACGTGACCCAAACTGAACAACAGAATTTGAAAGAGCACCAACATTAGTATGAAGGCCGAGTATTAGCTCAATATATTGACATTAACAGAATTAGCATCAAATATAATTATAAATCAAATATAATAATATCCTTCATTTTTCATTTCATTTCATTTTTCCTGTGGTACATATTGTAAACTAAATCTTCATGTTCTAACTATTATGGAGGTGATCTTTCTATTTCTGGGTTCATTTTTACAGGCCCGCTTAAATTAAGGAGATGGGGTCACATGACCTGATTGTGCAAGTCATCTGTTGGTCTCTAGTAAGTTGACCAAGTACAGGAATTATTGAATAAAATGAGTATAGAATTAATGCATGAATTAGTTTTGTGCACACAAGTTCTTTTGGATTTAATTGATTCCATTATTTTCGAAAATATGTAGGGTCCAGATTTCACAATGTCACTTGATGGTCATGATAAGATGTGTGGCTACCAGAAATCAATGTTTCCGCTATGTATATATGGGGCACAAGACACATACAGTGCAAGGATGCAGTTTTTGCGGATTTGGAATACAAACAATGATCCCTCAATTATAGGAAGATTTTACTTAGACTATCTGTTTGAAAGCAGAGGTGAGTAATGTGAGTAATGTATGAGTAATATGATATATTGTAAACTTGATATATATTGATGTATTTTGTCATGCATAACCATCTGTAGGGATATTTATCACTACATGTATAGTGAGATGGGTCACACTTAGAAACGTCGTGATGGCCCCATAGAAACGCGACGTTTGAGTCCATTCAAACCTAACGTTAAAGCATACGGAACAACGAGAAAATAATTGGGTGTCCAAGCTTAAACGCAAATAGCAGTAACATTTTCTGTTTTTCTTCCTAGTGTTGCCACAACATATCCGCATAGACAAGGGAACAGAGACTGGCATCATGGCCACTATGCACTGCTTTCTCCGTAATAAGCATGGAGATTTGGAAGATGCAACTGATAGCGTTCTTTATGGTCCTTCCACACAAAACAAAATAGAAAGGTGGTGGAGGGAACTATTGGAAAGAATGGAGAAATTCTTCAAGAAGCAACTATCCTCATTGGTAGAAGATGGAGATTATGATCCATGTAATGAAACAGAACGGTAAATATATATGCAAGCCTACCCATTTCTAACAACACTATTAAAATATATCCAGAAAAAATTCTACTGGAAAAAAATGGAAAGAAGCAATTAGGATGGATGTAATTTTAAGCCTTGTTACTTATGGACAGGCATTTTCACTGAATTGACATCTTTTTTTCACAATTTCATTGTGCTATGTAAGGAACTCTAGTTTACGGATAATAACTGAGAAGTACACTACAAATAGGTTAGGCTATCTCTCGCAAAAATCTCCTAATTGGGCTTCCTGTGCCATTTGGCCTAGAGAGACCTACACTCCCAATGAGAAAGAACAGGACCAAATCTGTCCCAGTTAGGGAGACAAATTAAGGGATCCTTGAAGGATTGTCTGTAGGCTAAGGGTATCACCTGAAAAATTAGGAGGCAATATTTGACTCCAGCATGTCAGTATATTAATATTTATTTAATTTTTTTCTTGCAGAATGTTGCTTGCTTTCATCTACATACCTGTCATACAGAAGGAGCTTGATGTCTTTCGTACTTCTGTATTGAACACTCATCGAATTCGAAAGCAAAAGAAAAAGGAACTCCCTACTGGAGTTCCAGATCATATCTACCATTGCCCAGAGAAGTATGGTTCTGAAAAATGTGGCCTTACAGTTACAGCAGATAATCTGGAAGAAGTGGCGGAGGTGTCAAATGTACTCACTGGCCCTGATGACTACTTAGAGAGTGCTTTTCGTGTGGAGTGTGAAAGGCACATTCCAAACACACAAGATATTGAGCCTTCTCAAGCATATAATGCTTACATCTATCTGAAATCTCACTTTGATGTAAACAGAGTATGACCAAGTCAATGAGTCTTTAGTGTTACTATGTATCTTATAAAATCAAAAAGCAGTCTGTAACCACCAAAGTATTTTTGTATGTATGTATATATTGGTGGACATCATTGCTGTTGCTCTCAAGCATAAGGCATTCTTTTGTTGTTGGATTGTTTTTTTGTTTCGAGAAAGAGACAAAAATTGATAATCCAGTATCAAACAGTCACTTTGCAACTGATTTGCAAAGCGATGGCAACTTTAAAAGATTGCAAAATTTGTTGCAGTTATGCCCATTAAAAAAGGTGTTGATGGCTTCTTGTGATAGGTTTCCTGAACAAAAATAAATTGAGCTGTCCTTATCTTGAAGGACTGAACTGGCTATTTCGGGATCACAGAGAGTGTAACCAACACCTTGGATGTCAGTGACCATCAAATGGAAATCAGACCTAACGTAGGTATAGTGGACGAAGGCTTCTGCTTTAAGTGTTATGTCCTCATCGTCCTTAAGACAAATTTCTCCAGTGTTGTTTATGTACTTTTGGAAATTTCCATCAATAAAGTCCTCCACTGTAACAAATTCATTACCCAGTGAAGTGAAAAAGGCCTTCACATACTTAAAGGTTTCTCCATATTCAAGAGTAGGCCTTTTCAAATCTAAGTTTTGCGCGAAATTGCGTGCTAAAGAATTCATTTGGACGGTTGTTCTGGTATGATTTTCAAGTGTTCCAAAAAGTTCCAAAATGTCTTGACGTTTATCTCTACGATACTTTTTAACGACGTACTTTCCTTTTGGCATACTACTGATCGCTTTGGCCAGAAAAGCTTCACGAACACCCCCTTCTGAAAATGGCTTTCTTTGTAGTGTAAACTTGGCTTCAAAGGGCTCTCTCCACATATCTGTTACGGAAAACTCTTCCAGCTGGAGGGTAACAATATCAACTTCCGGAGTGATAACTTTTCCAACCTTTAGCATTTGGCTCAATGACACGGATGCCACAACTGAAGGGACGATTATACCATTTTCTGGTTTGGTTTTGACTCTTCCGCTGAGTTCACGCACCGGAGTTTCCTTGTTAACGTTAAGTGGGGTACTTGAAGGACCGCTGTCAATGACAGTGTGCTGGCTAGCATTATCAATAAACCGGACATGTAATACCTTCCAGTTCTCGATCTGGCCGACATCGGTAAATGAGGGTCCCCTCTCTCCAGCTAAGACATCGCACTCGAGATTTTTCTTGAAATGTGCTTGACAAGCTGCTTTGATGTTTGGCAGATTARCTTCTTTCTCTGGGTCCAAGGGAACCAGAGTTAATGGCCCGATCCTCGAGTACTTCTGACATTTACCTTCGACGTTAGCTGACAGCCTTTGCACGGCTAAATT